CCCTTATATATCTTTAACTTATGTAGGAGTTTAATCTCTCACTAAGACTTATTATCCCTCGCTGAGAGTTATTATCTCTTGTTGAGAGTTATTATCCTTTCCTGAGAGTTTCAATCCTTCTCTATACTACAAAATACACCAAAATAAGAAGTACATAAAAATAAATGATAAAATAATAATACTAACTAAAAAAAAATTTTGAGTATAATAATAATCTTTGAAATTTTATATCGGAATACATTGGATTCCTAATTAGCTAGGCCAGAATTTCACTAAAATATCCTTTTTAGGAATTATTAAAAACTTGTTAATATATGCAAAATGACAACATGCATAATAATAACAATAAAATTATGACAATGTATACTTATTGAGATATACTTATCAAGATATCAATAAACAAAAAAAATTTAATGATAATAAAGTGTATAACATAATAAAATAGAGTGTTATAATAGCAAATTTGGTTATACCATAAAATCTGAAAGACAAATTTCCAAATATACATAATAACAACAAAGTTAGATAGCATTGATTATAATGTGAGACAATTTTGTTGGTATTACATTTTTTTGGGAAAATAGATTTAGAACCACAAATTTAAGTATATATAGTAGAGTTTTTTAAATTTTAAACTAGTAATAAACCAACCAATTTATATAGCTATAGATTGGTTATTATTATCTATATATTTGTATTTATTTTGATATTGTTTAGACTTTTTGTATATGCCACTAAGACTTATTTATTTTTATAATATATAATACTATATAAATAATGACATTAAAATGAGATATTAAAAAATATATTGTTAAGAATTTTATTAAAAAATAAGCTCTAATCTAAAATACACAATTAATTTAACTAAATCCATATAGTGTATTGTGCAAAAAAAAAAATTACTATCTTGTGCATTTTTAGCAATTCATTTTAGACTAAAATGAGATTATATACTTGTAGTTGGCTTTTTTTTCATATTACATATATATATTGACAGTTTGTTAATTTAGATCTTTAATAATTACTTGCTTGACAAGCCTAACATATAGCTACATATAAACATCATTAATAGTATAATTTTTAAATAATGCAGTATTTTGTTGTATGTGTAGTTAGAGGAACAAACCTATTATCCTAGACAAGGTTGTAAAAGTGTCGTATATAGAAAGTTCTCAATTTTGTGATATTTTTAGTGCAGCTACAAATGATCAATTTGAAGATTGTATTGTTTGAGTATTTTTGAGAAAACCTCCAAAGAATTGGGTTTATGTAGAAGAAGGGTTAGAGGGTGATGTATTTATGCTATTTGAGCTTAATTTTAACTATATTAAATTTGTTTTGGATGTAGTAGAGACTAGTGTTCAAAAAACTTTTTGCCAAAATTCAAATGCTTTTAATATTCTTATAAAAAATTTACAAAATATTCATATTTTTAAACTGAAAAAAGAGAATACTCACAGAGACTTACTTTATAATAATATTATTTGTTTGTTTTAAAATAAAGAAGTTGGATAGAAAAATGCAACACATAATACTATTGGAAAAGTTTTATTGAATGCTTAGCATCAGCCTTGTAGTATATAGATCCACATTGTACAAAGTTTATAGCACGATCACTTTCACTTGGAGATCTATTTAATGAATTAGATCAGTATTAACAAAACCTAAATTATAATCTTTTTTATAATACTGGAAAACATGCTAAATCTAATCTAAAACATAATAAGCTTGAGCAACTAGCTTCTTCACTTGAACTATCAATGGTATAATTATGGTCAATGAATAATAATTGGGAATTAATTATTAATGAGATTTTTACTTTAGTATCTTCAATATGAAAATATGCAAGCAACTTAGAGCAAATCAATCAAGCTATAAAAGAAATATATTTAAGTGATACACCAGCATGGCAGCCTGCTAATGATCTAAAAGTATATACAATTAAGCCTTGTCAAAAGAGCAATACAAAATACCAGCAACTTTAAGCTTTTTTATTTAATATTAATGATTATAATAAAATTAATTTGAAAAGCTTTTTACCTAAAGATACAATACAATATTATCAATATATTAAAAATCTTCAAATACAATTTCTAGTTACTATATATTATTATTACCAAAGTAATTATCTTGGTACTATTAATTATATTTAGAAAATTCTACTTAATTTTGAAGATCAGTTAAAAACTACTCAAGCAGTATAATGGCGGCTATTTAAAAAATACTGTATTTAAAAAAATGTGCTAAAAAAAGTAAAAATTATATAGTTTATTTAAAAATATATAAAATTTAAGAATAAATGCATATCTCGCAACCTGCAATATGCTTATATATCGCACTTAAATATGATTGGCTAATTTTGCAAATCGTTATTTTGTAAAAAAAAAAACAATTTTTTATTATTTTTTTTAGATTGAAGAAATCTTATAGAAAAATCAAGAAAAACGTTACTATTTTTTATACTTTTATGCAAAATTTGATGCTAAACAAGTTTACTTAGAAACTTTAAAAAGGTTAGCATAATAAAATTTTTGCATTTTTTCACATTTTTTGTATATTTTTTACATTTTCCCTAGATTTTATTATGTCAATGTCTTTTTTGTTTCTAATTAAACTTGTTCAGCATCAAATTTTGCATATAATTGCAAAAATTTTAACTTTTTCTTCATTTTTATAAGTTAGTTTTAATCTAAAGAAAATTAATCAAAATTTGTTTATTTTTTTATAAATAATAATTTGCAAAATTAGCCAATCATATTAAGGTGCAATATATAACCTTAACACATGTGCGAAGCATATTAAACTTCAAAATTTAATATATTAATTTTTGATCAAAAAAATTATTAGTTTTCATTAATTAAAACTATTATACCTGCTATTTTGTGTAGTTTATACTATAATTTAACTGGAGATACTGCTGTAGTATTAAATGAGATTAGTAAAGAGTTAGAAGAATAACTTCGTCTTATGTTAGCATTAGAAGACCTATCAATTATATGTGATTTGTATCAGAATAATAGATTTAAGGGAACGAAATTTGATCTATTTTGGAATAAATTAGAAGCTTATTTTAATGGGATATTTTTTAACTACGTATATATATGCAATATATAATAAAATACTTAATTTATTTATTTTGTTAAAATGTGCTAGCAGTTAATGATCATTGGCATGGAAATATTCTTTATATGCTACTTGCTATTTCAATACATGATCTTTGTAAGATAATTATTTAATGATTAAATAGTAAATATATATCTGAAACTATCTTAATTCCAAGTGAAGAATAGATATATCTGCAGTTTCAACCAACAAATTTAACTACTAAAAGAGCTAAACACTATACAGGATGTTTTTATGGTTCATGCAAGACTGCTTCATAAAGATTACAAGATATGCATTAATGTGCAAATCTTTTTCGATATTTAAGAGAATTTGCAATTTTATATCAGCAATATACTTTATTTATTTGTGCTGATGACAAACACAAAATATCTATTAGAGAGGATGTTAATACATCTACTGGTGTACGAAATAAAAAGTCTATAGTTTTTCAAGAAACTTCACTAGCAGCATGCAATCATGATTTTACAAAATTGTCTTTGACTCCTTTTGTAATATTTTTTTGCAATATTCTTCAATCTATCGAAGATTCCTTTTATAGTGGAAAAGTATTTGTCTTATTTAAAGACACAGTATTTCAAACTAGTAATACAATAAGACATGCTACAGAGTTTTATAACATGATTTCTACTCAATGTTTTAACAATATTCTTTCAATTCTTTGTCTTTATATTGATAGTGGTCCTAACCATCATATAGTATTTTTTTTAGTTCAAATTTCTCTTATTTGCTGTTTTTACTTGGTAATTTTGATATACTAATTGCAATGCACATAGCACCTTATCACAGTTGGACTAATCCAGCTAAAAGAATTATATCTATATTAAATTTAACCTTACAGGGTGTAGCATAAGTAAGAAATACAATGAGTTCAAAGTCAGAAATAGAATTTGCTAAATTAGATATATTAAATGAAATTTGAATTGCTGCTAAAACAAATTTGAATTTGCAAAATGATTTAAGTAAATGTATACAACATTTATTAGAAGAATGTACTGAAAGACTAGTTTTATATAATGAACCATTTCAATACTATAGTCCAGTAAATGAAATAGAGATTAATGAATTTTTTGATATATATAATTAAATTTGAAATATTAAAAATTTTTATTATTTAATTTATTACTAATATATTATTTATTAGATGATATTGTTAATTGATCGAACTTTAAAGTTTTCAGATACAACAAGTAATATTTTATCAAAAAAAATTGATTTACAACAATTTATACAAGCATATTGCAAATATTGCCAATATGTTTTTTAGATAAAATTGTTATTATAGTTATTGGATTTTTTTAAATACAATATCTTTTTCAAACTTTTATTCAAAATATAGTACTATACAGCACTACATATGAGTTTTGCCAAGAGAAAACTTAACATCAGACTTTCAATTATATTTTGTAGCTATCTATAAAAATCAATTATTACAATAGACTTTTTATAGATAGCTAACTATATACAAACTATAATTGAAAGTCTGATAATAAGCTTTCTCTTAGTGGCACTCAAATAATATTCTGGTTTTTCAAAAACCTTAAAATAAACTAATAATATCTTTAAGTTATTGTTCAAACTCTTATGATTATAAATTATTTCTTCTTGATATTATAATATAAGCACAACAATCTTAAATTAAAACTCAATTAGCCAATAATAGCTTGTAAATCATGATCATAATTGTACAATAACATTGATATTAGATTATACGATGATAAATATCATAAAATTTTTTTGCTAGAACAAATAGTTAGCTGAAATGTGCTACTGTGTGGCATATATCAGCCAACTATTTGCTCCAACAAATAAATTTTTTGATATTAATCATTGCATGACCAATATCTTAAAAATACTATATATAGCACTGTATAAATATGTTGAAATTTGGTCTATAACAAATTAAGCTTAAAAGTTTATTATAATATTTAGATAAAAAAAATGCAATTAATTGTCTTGTACTATTTGTCAATCTATTCGTCTTCCAGATGATATTTTTAATGCACTAGATTGGTTGCCTGATCCTATTTTTTCTACAAGTAAGTTTTAAAGTTATTTGTTTATACAATATAATATATAATTCTAATAGAGTTAAATTTATTATTTATAGTTGACAAAGATCATTATACTAAATTTCAAGCAGTATATCAGGCAACAATATCAGAACAATAACATCCAACACTTATAACTATAGTTACAAACAAAGAATGTGCACCATCATCTATTTTAGTAAATACACAAGTTCGAGAGTTTATTCAATGCTTTTAATGTGGAAAAATGCATTGTTTATATAGTAAATGTACATTATTAGCAGAAAATAAATTAGCATGTCAAAATGCTATAGCTAATTAGAACTATACTTGTAGATCACTATTTGTGCCAGAAAACCATATTCTATATAATGAAGTCTTTGTAAGAGAAAAAATTAGTTGTAAAACACCAATAGAATTAATATATTATTCTTGTCAAAAATCAAATATTAATAGTAGTGTTATAGAACGCTTAAGAACATATTAAAGATTATGTTCTCAAAAGATTCAGAAGACCATGACGATCAAAACAAGCTATAATACACAATAAACGGACTAACAGATAACTAGCAATTGATAAACAAAGATAAGCCAAGAAGTGATAAATGATAAGCCATAATGGATTTACAATACTTGTAAATCCATACTTATAATATTTCTTTATAATGTTTCTTTATGTTTCTTTATGTTTCTTAATGTTTCTTAATGTTTCTTAATATTTCTTAATGTTTCTTTATGTTTCTTTATATTTCTTAAGATTTCTTAATATTTCTTAATGTTTCTTAATATTACTTTATATTTCTTAATGTTTTATTATATTTTTTATTACTTCTTATTGTTTCTTATAGTTTCTTATTGTTTTATATTCTTTTGATATATGTTGTAAAAGCTATATAAACCCTAGCTTTTACCTTTTTTTTAACTTTAGGATTTGTTCCCTGCAATGTTTTAAATATTAGGATTCTATAGAAATAGATATCTATAGATAGCTTGGTGTTTAGATATTGTATTATAAATAAATAAACATATCTTTGCTCTAAAGTAAAACATGTCTCTATGCTTCTAATGAATATACTGAACTGCCCTAGTGAGAAAACATTCTACTTTCACACCACTTTATATCTTGCCCTGTTGTATTAAAGATCTCTGTCACTGTGTGCCATGTTGCAGGTGGTAAATTAAAAAGACTACCCCACTTGTAACATTTTGGTGCCTTCTGGCAGAAAGCTAAAAGTCTCCACCAGAAATCTAAAAGGTCTCCCCAGGAAATACTAAAAGTCTTCACCAAAAACCTAAAATGTCTTCTCTGGAATTATAGAATATCTCCCAAGAAGCTTGAAAATATTGAACCCATTAACTTGGATATTCTCTTCTATTACTAAAGATTATTTTATTTATTTGTGAATACCTATTACTAAAGGAGTAATAGTGCACTTGGAAGTCCTGTCAAGTTGAAAGAGGCTTGTACAGAAGGGCTACTTGAAGTCTCTGATTTCATAGCACCTAGAAAGTTCTGTCAAGTTAAAAGAGACTTGTACAGAAGGGCCACTTGAAGCCTCTGCTTTCGTAGTAACCAGAGCTCGTAGCTTACTGCAACCCTGAGATTAGATTCCTTGGACAAGTACCCCACAAGCCAAACATGTAGGTGTAAGGACTCATAGCTTACAGCTTACTGCAAACCTTAACCAAGAGTGTTAAGCACAGATTATCCACAAGCCAAAGTGTAGGCGTAAGTAATCCCAACCTTGTAAATATAAACTCAGAAAATTTTATATCTCGGAAGTTCTATGGTGCATGTAGTCTAGAACCAACATTATGTGACCTTTTATAACTATATAAAATAAAAATAACTATAACCAATCATATTAATACTATAATAGAAAAACCTTTTCTGTAAATTGATTATTTATGCTTTATATAATATTTTTACAGAAAAAAATTTTTATTTTATTTATTAGAACTTAAGATATTAGCCAAACTATTCTATATACCTTAAAATTTTGGCCATTAATATAAAATTTTTTAAAAATTTAATTGGCTAATTTTATATGTAGTACAAAAATTTTTACTATAAAAAGTTAAATTTTAGCTACTCTTGGTCATGTGATGTTGGTTCTAGGCTACATGCACCATACTACGTACTTTCTATATCATATCACATGACTAAACTGAAGCAAAGAACTTATAACCAATTTTCAGTTCTTAGTATATATATATACATGTGAATATTTATAGTATTACTATAGTAAATAGCCTAATTCTTTATAAATTATTTATTTACTTATATTCAATGTGCATATATAATCGCGAAGACAAAAATACTTATATCTCGCGATCTACTGGGCCGAATTTAACGTTTTAACCGCCATTTTGATCGCAAGACACGCCTCTACAACTTTTATTAGAAGTCGAAATAAGGTTTACTTTAGCGTCACAGACGGAAAATGCCACAATTATGTTTTTGATATTTTTACTATAAATATATTAAAAAGGTAATTTTGGTTATCACTTAACATAGAAGTATGAGTCCTACGCTTTGCTTTGGACAATAATTATTAGTTTGTAAGCTTTTTTAAGCAAAATTTTTTTATTTTCTAGTATTAATATAATATAAATATTTTAAAAAAATTCTGTAATTTATTTGTTTTCTAATTTTATATAATAAATTCTTATATATAATTATTAGTTTGTAAGCAAAGTTTTTTTTATTTTTTAGTATTAATATAATATAAATATTTTGAAAAAATTCTATAATTTGATTAGTTAATTATTATATACAAAAGAGTTAGAGTCTCATAGTCTAGTGGTCTAGGTGCCTAACTCTCCACAGACGAGATTAATGGTTTGATTATAGCTAGTAGTAATTAATTTAATTAATTATTTTTGTAACCTTCGGGAGCTTTCAAATACAAAATTTTGTAACAGTAAAACCATGTAATATACATATTTGGCTTATAAAGAATTCTTGGAAGGAGTCTCGAGCCATAGAGAAGTCTGGGCACTGCGTGTAATATGGATCACAGAAGGTTTACTGCAGAAGGCTATGTGCATGAATTCACAATTGGCAAAGTAGCACCAACAACCTAAGGTGGCATTGGGATCTTGATTGGGAGGACTGCTATATATAGTATATCCAGAAGTGATGAGAGAAGCAGTGAATATAATAAAAGGCTGTGGTAAGAGAATGGCTTTACCAAATATAAAATATCTCTAGTACAAAAAACAAGAAAAACCGGCTAAAAGGAACTCCGAAAAGTATGGAAGCAAGTAATCTAGTAATACAAAAATAAAAATAGCCAGGGAGTAATATATTACACAACCTATATAAAAATCAATGATGAAATATAGCAGAAGCGCAGGTTCCAGGTCACTGACTTGTAATAGTGATTAAATAAGATACATAACTCTCGTCCTAAGGATCTAGACTTCTGTAACACCATACTAATAGAGAGTACTATAAAAGGAGTAATAGTCTAATTTGGTAGTGTATAATGTGAATACCTAAATTAATATGAAATAATATCTTAGTTTGGCACAGGCAACTGTTAAGATATGGCTAGGTTTTAAAATAGCTTCTCAGGGATACCAAACTAGAAACACGAAGAGCACCCACTCGAAAGACACCAATTTGGAAGTAATACAAGACCTGAATTAGGAGTAATGTGATAAGTGATGAGAGTGAAAGTTAGTCAATAGATGTTATATAGTAGTATATAAACGGAATACATATAATAAAAATAGGTTTAGATTTGGGAACTATTCAGTGAGGCCTGTTGAGGATAGTTGATAAGGAGGTAAAAATCTCATATAGCAAATCGCATATAGATACTCAAGTTAGTAACCAAGTAAGCTAATACTGTATATATATTAGATAGTTGTAACTATACTCATGATATTTGTAATCAAAAATTACCTAAGTGTAAAATTTAATAAACAGTAGAGGCAAGACTGCCAAATTAAAAAAAAAAAGTATATATAAAAAACTTTTTCTAATAATTACTTATATTAAATTTTTTGCTAAAAAAAAACAAAAGATTTGTTAAAATTAGAAGTAAAAGCAAATAAATAAGGATAGTTTTTATAAAAATTAACTGACTATATTACTTCAGAGACTTCTTTATATATTTAGTATGCAAGTTAGAAACATATTTATACAAAATATTTAGCAGAAAATAATGCTTTTATATAAAAATTTTTGATAATACTGTACAAGAAATAATAGCTCTATTACTAATGAAGTTTGCTATATACAGTATATAGTTTAGTTTATATCTGGTTTTAAAAAACAACAAATAAGTTTTTTAATACTTTTTTTTAATATTTAAAAATGCTTAACTCTAAAACATTTTCTATTATATTCTTATTATATTTTAGTATTTATTTTGAAATTTTTTCTAAAAAATAGAAAATTTAGTATACTTTTTACAAAAGATCAATATTGCTTTATAGTATAGTATATTCAAATAGAGAATAGCTATTACTAATAAGTTATGTTCTATATATCTAAACAAAAATTTTAAATATTCTCTATATGACAACTAAATATATTATAATACAAAGATAAAGTTAAAGTGAAGATTTTTTTATAAAGTATTATATAATTTTTAAAACCTTGTACTAGTGCAAATAGTATTTTATGTTTTTGTTTTTTCTTTGCCTTTTATTTTTTTTATTTTTTTTATTTTTTTTTTTGTTTATATTTGAATTTTATTTAAATTTTGTAGCTTTTTTATTTTTTATTTTTTTATTATTTTTTTAGATTAGTTTTTTTTATATTTGTTATTCTTTAGGCAAAGATTATAGAATTCTCTTGCTCTGATATTTAGAAAAGAAAAAATAGCAATTATAATAAACTATAGATATAGTACTATTTAGTGATTTACTTATTTACTTTGATTGCAGAAGAGATAAGTATTAAGATAAATTTTATTATAGCAGATAGAAGATAAGTAATTTAAACAATTGTTACAAAGAGCCAGATTAGTCAATCTTTGTAAATTGAAAAATCAGAGCAAGTGCTCTGTTAAATTTTTATATAGTGTAGCTATTATATATTAACTTAATAAAGTATTGGCATAATTGCTAAATTTTAAAAAAAAAAAATTAGTTAATTATCACAAGTATTTATAAATAAATTGATAAAAATTTAATTATTTTAAATATTTAAATTTATATAATAATTTATATATATTATGTATATTGTTTATTTGTTTATATTTTTTAACCAATTAAACCAAATATTTACCATGCTAGATTTTGCAATAACATTTGTAATTTAATATAAATAAAGACAAAACTGTTTAAAATATATATATATTATATATATACTATATACTATAGCTTTATTAATAAAATTTAAAGTTTAAATACTATTAGGGAGCTAATAGAAAAGAGCTTATTATAGGGTCTCTCTCCTCCTTCCCTCACTCTCCTCTCTAGAACAATTACAAGTTCTAAAGTAATCAATTAACCCCTTGTATATTTTTATGTACTCCTTGTATAGTTATGCAGGTTTGTGCATAAATCTGCATATTTATGCATAAATCTGCATGATTATGCAAGGGGTGCATAAAAATATGCAAGAGGTTAATTGATTACTTTAGAACTTGTAATTGTTCTAGAGAGGAGAGATGAGAGGAGGAGGAGGAGGACCCTATAATGAGCTCTTTTCTGTCAGCTCCCTTATAAATTAAAATAAATTAATACAATACAATATAGAATTTTTAATATTTTTATTTAAAATATTTAATATTAATTATTTAGTTAACTTTTAAAATATAATAATTATAATACTAAATACTATTGGTATAATTTAATAAAATTAAAATTAAAATTATTTTATAATTAATTTGGCTATTTAAAATTACTATAAATTTAATTACTTTATATATCAAATTTAGTTAATAATTTTAGAAATTTTAAATTTGACTATACTGTATTACAGTTTATATACTGTATATTATTGTATATACAGTATAAAAATTCAAATTCAAATTTGACCGTTAATAATTAAAATTAGTTAAATACTATATGTAGTATATACGTAGTAAAATATACTATATACAGTATTACGTATTTGCCAAAATATTTTATAATAAATAATTTAATAAAAATTTGCAAATCCAATTTGGCTAAATTTAAAAAGCTAACTTTTTATATTTTGCAAAATTAATTACATATACAGTAGCGATACTATATTACTGTATTACAAATGTTATTAGAAATTATATATTTGCTAATATACAGTATATATATACTTTATGGTATAGATAATAGTAAACCAAAAATTAGTAACTTAAAAAAATATGAAAAATAATAATTTTATATATAGTATATACAGTATATATATGTAATTTATACATATATATGTAAATATATATATATATATTCTATATATATATTATTATATATTTATTGCCAACATGCTTATCTTAGTATTTGTATGCATGATGTAATCAAATTTTGTAGCATAAACATAATATAATAGTGCATATATTAACAAATAAAAAATAGTTTCTGCAAGAAATTATTGCAGTATTGAAGTTCTAGAAAAAAAATTTCACCATTTTGTATTAAATAATGCGAAAAAATACATAATATAAGTTATTAAAAAAATATCGGATATACGTAAAATCCGACGATAGTAAAATAATTTTTTAATGATCATGTGAAAAATTTTTAAACTTTAAATTTAAGTTTAATTTGTCACAACAGAAACATAGACAATGTTGTTGTTATGCATATATAGTATGTTACAAAACCTTTAAAATCACTATTTGTCACAAAATTATTAATCAAGTTTGATTTTTTCGAAACGTATTGTTAATAACAACTAAGTATTATATAAAAGAAAAAAATTTCGAGAAAATTATTAATACTTGTTATAACTTAAAAATGCGGAAACTGTTCACTAATAAACGAAAGGTTAAAGTCAAAAAAAAAAATTAGATCAAAAAAGAAAGGAAAAAGAAAAAGAAAAAAAAGGAAAAAGAAAAAGAAAAAAAAGAAAATCAAATTTCAACGGTGGTGGACGCACATACCAAACGAAATTAGATGATCTTTATGCAACGTGGCAGAACATGGAAATGAATGACATATGTAATCGGAGGGTCACGCTTTAATGGTGTTCAATGACCGTTCATTTTTGTTATTTCACCTTTTCGAGCTCTTTCGGCTGATGCTGTTCAACAAGAGTCCGGTTACTCGAAATTCTATATAGAGTAAATGCGAGGTCCCAGCCCACAGCCTTGGCTTGAAACTTACATAATTTACATGTTAGTGTGCTATATAATGTGTTTACATTTTTGCCCGCTTTCTAAAATGCTTGTTGCTTCAAGTTTGGATACACACAAACAATTGATGTCCATAACAGATTTATAAAAGAAGTTGTAACAACATCACATCCCTTACCAACGCACGCAGGTTTCCCTCCAAACTTTTTTTTCTTTCCCCTTTCCTGTAATCTATCTCCTTCCCGTTCTTCCATAGTGCGTATAGTGTGCGTATATCGTACAACTGTTCTTACATTCTTTCATTTTCCGAAGTCCCTTTAAAAAGGACAGAACCTTCTTTTTTTTTAGTATTTTATGCGTTGTTGTGGACTTCTCTAGCTCTTAATCAGTTGGCTGCTATATATATATATATATTCTTTTTACTTCTTGACCTTATAAATAAAATAGACGAGTGTAATCGTCTCTACTCGCTTTCTTTTTAGGCTTTGTGACCCTTCATTTTTTTTTCTTTTCATTTTTTCTTCTTTTTTTTTTTTCTTTTTTTATATTATTTGCTGGTCTTTTTATTTGCTTCTCTGAGGTATTTATGAAAATAAGTTTCTACTTGACATCTCTTCCCTTTTGTGAAAATCTTTTATTATCACAACTCAAATTTACGAACTACTACTTATTTAATAACTTTTTATCTTTTCACCATCTGCACAGATTTCTCTTGATTATTGCTAAAACGGTCTCGCTCTTATAGAGGTACGAAAGATCCTATTTGTTGTCAACATAATATATATTTTTTCGTCTCTTCCTATTATTATATTGTTATTTGTATTCTTCTTTACTTATAAAGTCTCGTTTATTACATATTATATACCTATATTACTTTTTTCACATCTCTTATCCTATTTCTTGTACATATATTATATTTTAGAGTATAAATCATGTATGCGCAAAGGGATTCATCGGGTACCTTACTTACCCAGGCTTTTCATCCACCGTCGTCTGAGGAGCATTTTTCTTCTCAAACCTTTTTTGAACAACAGCAACAGCAGTACAATCAAGAACAACTTGAAGAGATCCAAGAACAACTTAACCAATCTAATATAGCTCAACGTTTTCAAATCACTGAAAACAATAATTTTGCTTTTCAGGCCTTTGATAATAGTTCAATTCTCGGAAATTCTCTCTCCGCTGATTGGTCACAGATTTATGGGAGCGATGATATGTGTGGATTAGTAGATGGTTCTAATTTTTCTAATGGTGTCTTCGTTGATGGTTTAATACCTCAAAATTTAGTTGGTGACGGTAGTTCTTGGGTACTTAACCAAAACACCGGTTTTACCAAACAAGAAACTCATTCTTCTTTATCTAATTCACCTTCTGAGGCTGATTCTGAACAAAATAATGAGTCTGTTATATCCTCTAATTCTAACGATCATGTTAGATCTCAAACTCCTGGTCCTTTTCAAAAGAATAATATTCCAAATTATTTGACCGCTCGTCGTCGAAGTTTATCCGCTGATAATATACATGCTTTGGCAAAAGCTCAACAACAATTAGCTAATCGTAAGGTCGCATATCTCGCTCAGCAAAATTCTGATCAAATATCTTTCCAAAGACCTCATACTATGAATTTTGATCATCATTCTCAATTCTCTCTTAAACAACAGCCTATTCAAATGCAAGAAACTACTATCAACCAGAACATTTTACAAGTTGATAATCAAAATACTAATCAGATTAGTGATAATGATGTTGATCGTAATAATTGTCAACAAAATAATTCTGTTACTGCTAGCCCAACTCAACAAACTACAAATCGTCCTCAATTATCTAGATCTATTTCACATCAACAAATTGGTCCAATTAATCATGCTCAAAGGCTTACTGAATTTCAAGCTAGATTTAAAGTAAAATTAGATAAAAGAAATCAAAGGAGTATGCCAAATATTCATGCCGCTGCTCATGCTGCTTTAGCTCAATCTTCTATAAATCTTCAAAAATCTAATCCTACAATCGGTGGCCCTGTTAATGGTAGTGTTCCTATCATGGAATTAAATCAGCCCTTGTCCACTCAATCATTCGCTGAGAAATCTAATTCTCTTAAGCCTTCTCTTAATCCACCTCGTCGTGGTCATATGCGTAAACGTTCTCTTTCTGCTCCTACGACCCCATTCCCAAATCTTACGCAACAGTCTCCTGGTTCAATTCCCTTACAACCTGCTCAATCTTTTCCTCTAAACTTTCCTATGTCCTTTCACAAGCCTAATGCTTTACCTATTCAAATTCATAGAAATCCAAAACATTCTCATGCTAGTGCTCCTTTATCATCTGAGGAGTATCAACGTAAACTTAATGAAGAACTTGAAAAAGTTGACTTTGATGATATCACTGTTAGTGAACTCAAAGAAATGTTACGTCAAAGAGGTAAACCTGCTACTGGTAAAAAGGCTGTGTTGATGCAAAGGCTTCAAGAGGAAGTAGAGCATGTTAAAGCTATGAAAAATAATAACCAACAGCTTAAAAATCAAATGATGTCATCTCCTACATCTCCATCTAGTGGTGTCTCTTTGCAAAGAAGTATTGCTAATTTACAAATATCCAGTCCGCCCATACATTCTCGACGCTTTAGCCCTTATGGTAGTGTTAGTATTCCGGGCAGTCCCAGAATAATGCCCAGCGGGCTGGGTAATGGACGATCCGGCTTTAGTGGAAACGTTCCATATACTGAAGGTGATGAATGGCAATTTCATAATGTTGGAATGGTATCACCATTAGCTTCACAAGATCTTGATGATGCGGTTCACCCATCTCAAGCTATGATTATAATGGGATCACAGCAACCGCAAGAAATGTATGGACAGCAACAACCTTCTTCCGCTCCTGCTACTACCACTGAATTTGAACAAGCATTTCAACAACAACCATCATCTGCTCCTCCAATGACAACTGAATTTGAAACTTTTGAATTCATGAATCCAATGGCTATGAATATGATGTCAATATCTCCTGATATGATGAGGATGAATATTAATGATAATGATCTAAAACAAAATCCACCCGAAGGTAAACCAGTGAATGATGAACAACAATCATCGGCTTCACTAGTTTCGTCAACATCAAATGATGCTGTGGCTGGAATGCTGACACAGCATCAAACGTTAGATTTTGATTTTAATGCTCAACATTTACAAGATGGAAATGTTCTTATAAAATCTGAAGGTATTATTGATTAACTATTTTTTTTTTAAACCCTTAATAATTTCTCATTTTTTTTAATGTGGTTTTTTTTTTTTTCAGACTTTCTTAATTACTCTCCTATGACTTCTATTTCTCATCAATCTTCTCAGCATCTGCCTATGCAAATTGAGCTTCCGCAAGATGGAATGAATTTTGGTGGATGGTGATTGCGTTGTAAATGGGCTGGAACCCACATTAATATCTAAAAAAATATTTGGGCATGTGGCATCTTTGATTATATATTTATTGTTATAATTTACATATAATATACATTGACAGTTAAGTCATTATTAGTATATCATTAGTATTTACTCTTGTATTTTATGTTGGTGGTTTTATTTCTATTTTTATCTCTACCTCTTTTTTGTGGAATTTTGAGATTGTGACCTTAAGAATTTTTATATATTCGACTCTATTTTGCTCTGAATCTTTAATGAAACATTGGAATCATATTATGAATGGATATTATTGCTTTAATCAATCGAAAATGTTATATGTATTGTTAGGATAGTGATATAGAAAATATTATCCTGTTGTCTTTAAAGAGCATTTTTACGATTAGGATATCAAATCAAGAATGAGTCGTGTACTCTTGTCCTCGACTTTCACATCTCACTTCACATCTACACATCTACATTTTTCCTTAAAATCGTATTTTTTTTTTTTATTTTTTTATTTCAATTTTATTTTTTGTTTTCATTTTCTTTCTTCATTCAAAAAATTTTTTCTTGTAGTATAGTTTTTTCCCTTTCCCCTTTTTTCAAAACTATCATTCTTTGTTCCACTTAAAATACGCAATAGATACAAAATAAAAATTTTCCTCTTTCTAAAAACTCATTTTTTCATTTGTAGTTATTTTTTATCAAAACAAAAAGGAGGTGAGCTAACAAAAAAAAAAAAAAGAGCAAAATTTATTTTAACCGCTCTATTATTAAACCTTGAAAATTTATATTTTAGGCTGTTTTTAAGTAGATATGCATTAGGTTTAATGTTTGAATTTTTGTTTTATTGAATGAATATGAAAGGAACTGAAGTTTTTTTTTTTTATTTTTTAAAAAAAAAAAAAAAAAATGGACAAATAGCATACATATGCATATATATATATATGTATGATATATATTATAATAAAAATTTATTTTTTTTTTAAATATGTTCATTATTTTACATATATTATATATAGTATATATTTACTAATATATTGTTATTTTAATTCTAATTTTATTATTTTTTTAATTTTTTTAATTTAATTTATTTTTAAGTATATGTACATACGTACATAATAATACATAGTAATACATAATATATACTATATATATATAATATTACATAACGATAATATATAATATAATATTATATATATATATAGTATTAATAAAAATTTATATAAGTTATAAATATACGTATACTAAATATTAAATATATAGTATTAATATAATATATATATACAGTATATATACAGTATATATATATATTTAATAAAAAAATTTTTTTTAAATTTATATTTTTTTTTTTTTTTTTTTAATTCGGCAGTCTTGCCTTAACTGTTTATTATTAGTACTCTAAGGTATTACGGTTACAAATGTACATATACATTTACAACTATCTAATTTATTACAGATAAGACTCACCCGGTTACTAACTTAGTACCTATGTGTGACCTGCTATATGGGATTTTACCTCCTTATCCACCGTCCCGCACCATTTTTAAATTTATATTATACTATAGTAATTAAATTTTTTGCTAATAAAAATTTTATATACAGTATATATATTATAATATAAAAAACTGAGTAGTTAACTAAACTACTTAACTTAATGTAAAAAATGTAAAATACTATATATATATATAATAAGATAAAACTAAAAAAATATATATTAAAAATAATAACTAAACAAAACTAATACAAAAATATATAATATAAAATAAAAAAATAAAAGAGAATATTTAAGAAAATATAATAAAACTAGAATAAAAACAAGATAATAATGTAAACAGGAAAGAACGTATCTAAAAATAGAACATGTTACACAATTGATTTATATTGTAATTTATATACTTTAAAGTATTTTCACAAGGCTTGTATAGCCTACTATCTCTATAAAATGTAAAAAGTCTATAAAGCAAACATGAAGTTTTTGTACTATATTTTAATAATATCAAATGAATCCACCTAAATTTATTCATCTTTATATTTAATTTACATAGTAAAATATATATACTGTCGGCTCTCCCCAAACTGGTATACATAGTGAATAGGTTTTGTATCGGCTTTGGAAGGTTATCGGATTTGGAAAAATTACATGACAAGCTGATTAATAATTTACCAATCAAATTACAAAACCAGTACTAATAATTTTTACAAATTTTGCCAAATTTTCTCAAACTTTAACAGAAGTTTTCTTGATAACTACTTATTCAAATCAGCTTATGTTTTTATTGTAGATGATATATATATTCATTTATAATATACTAAAAGTTTAGCTAATTTGGATTGATAGTTCTTAAGAAATTACTTGTATATAATAGTTAATTTTTTTAAAAAATTGTTTATTGTATACAAGCAAATTTTCAAGAACTATCAATCCAAATTAGCTGAAATTTTTGTATATAATAAATGAATAAATACTGTATATTGTCTATAATAAAAATTGAAGCTGATTTGAATTAGTAATTATCAAGAAAACATCCATCAAAGTTTGAGAAAATTTGATAAATTTTATAAAAATTGATCTTTTTATACCTTATTAAATTCATGATTCTGATTGGTCGTTAATCATGTAGCTATATATAATAAATTAGAAACTTATACATTTGAACTATTGGTTATCAGAAATGGTAAGTTATCAGATATGGATTAAGAAACAGGCCTGGTGAATTGATTTTTAACTGATTATAGCAGATTATTAGTTTTGACAGGATCAGTTTGGGGAGGGCTGACAGGTGTATATCTATTTACTCAACAAGATATTAGATGAAGATCCACGCTGTCCAATAATCCGCGCATGTCTAGCCAATAAAATCTATTACAGGAAATTCATTTACTATATAATCATAATTAAGTAATTGCTTTTATCTTCAATCAAATTCATTTATCTAAGCTTTTATTGCATTTATATATATACTATTATAGCACAATTAAAACTATACAACTCTTTCTGATGATCATCTGGACCATATTTTCTGAAAAACTTTTTGACTAAAAAACAGTAACGTATTGCAAGAAAAATATAAGATATGGGAAAAGGGTGTAAGAAGAACTATATTTGTCATTTAGAGGTAGTTCTTATATGCTACCTGCCAACAAGCTTAGAGTTTATCACTTACGGCAGCATGGCACTTGTCGTTTAGAGATAGTTCTCATATGCTATCTGCCGACAAGCCCAGAGTTTATCACTTACTGAAAAAACTTAATACTATGCAAACTTGTGAAACACCTGTTGATATTTTTAGAACTCATACTCATTTGAAAAAGTGCTAGTGGTCTCTTTTGTGTTTTTCACTTTTTGCTATTCTCACCAAAAATTTCGACAAAAAAGTGGGCATTTTAGCTCACCTCCTTCAAAAGATCAGCATTGTTTACACCTACCTAATTTGGACGAACTCAGTAGAATGCAACTATGTGTTTGTTTTGTTTATCAATATGGTGCTATGGTGCGAGAAAGAGATCGTCACCTCGTTTAGAAGATACCTGAATCGAGTCAGTGCCCAGAATGAGTTCTAAAAGCTAAACCAAAGATTTACAGTCTAGATATAGTAATTAGTTGCAATTATTATATAATTTTTATCTTTATGCCTAGTATGGGCTATAATAGTGTATCATGGCTACTTTTTTTTTTTTCACTTTTTTCATCTTTGTTCATTTATGTTAGACTATTTTAGGAATTTTAGTTTAGTTTTTGTTTTTTTTTATCGCTATGAGACTTTTTTTTTTCTAAAATGTTTATGTCTTTCATAAACATAGCTTTACATTTTTACTTTTATATACGAATAAGGGTTTTATTTGTGTTGTCGGGCTTAGGTAGAAGAAGTTTGAAAGAAAAAGAGATAGTCGTGACGGGCAGCAAGGTCTACTGTTGAGAGCTGGGTCATATCCAAGTGCAGGAGAGGTCCGGAAGGAGGAAAATCTTGCTATAGCAGGTCAAACATAGGTACCAATTAAGGTAACCGAGTTAGTTTTAACTTGTAACAGTAGGTTTAATGCTATGGCACTTGTCGTTTAGAGATAGTTCTCATATACTATCTGCTGACAAGTTAAGAGTTTATTACTTACCTTTCTAAATGCAACTTAGTGTAAAATTTTACCAGTCTAGAAGACTTGTATAAAGCCTAATAAAGTTAAAGTATAATTGCCGAATTTATAAAAAAAAAAATATATATATATATATATACTATTATAGCTTATATACATTTTTTATTTTTATATAATCTGCTTTTCAATTTAAAGAAAGTTATTTAGTAAAAAACAGAATATGAATGAAATAAATATAGTACGTTCTGATAATTGTAAATGCAGCAAAGAAAAAAAGGCTCATTTAGCTATATTTATACTATATTAAGATTTTATAGTTTATTTTTAAATATTTGATATATTTCTAATTTATAATTTATTAGTGTAGTAACTTTAAGATACAAAATTTTCTTAAAACAGGTAAAATTAAAATTTAAAAACTATAACTTGGCCAGATCAACTTTGAAAAATTTTTTATATAATATTAAATTAAAATTTAGATTACTGGGTTTTTAGATCTAAACTAATTTGTAAGATCTGTAAAATCTAAACTTGTCTTTCAGATAACAGATGAGTTTTTTTAAATTTTGGTTTTTTTTATTTATCTCTTTGTCTTTCAATAGAATAATTTGTTCTACATAATTCAAAACCAGGAATAGAACAATTGTCATATATAGCAATTTTTGTTTTTTTTTTTATTCTTATATTAATAATTTCTTTCAAATCAGTGGCAGTTATTTGATTTCTATCCTTCTAGTCATGCTTATCCCAAACTTTTCAAATTGCACTTACCCAATCTTTAAATAAAATATTAACAGTTTTCTCAGGCTTCTTTGTTTTTTGAAGAAATAAAGCTTTGGAAGCTAGTATAGAATAAAATTTTTGGCATACAGAGAATATATGCTTGTATGCCATTCTATGAAGTTTATAATTTGGGT